ATTTTCTCCCACCCACCACTCTGAATAACCTTCATCTCACCCCTCACTACGACCACCACCCCCCTCCCCCATTTTCCTCTCCCTATCTCTCTGTTCCTTTGCACCAGCCGGTGAGTGAGCAGATTTCAGAAAGCATCCTGAGTGGAGCAGGACATGTGGGCTGGGCCTCTCTCTCTATATATACCTCTCCTCTTTCCTCATCTTTTCCCTCATCAATTTATTTAGTTTCTTTTTTAAACGTTCCTACCTGCTTCCTCTTCTTCACTTTCCTTTCTTTTTCCTGTCTGTTTTTGTCCTTGTGGTTTGGGATCTGGTTTCTTTGTCTGTCCGTCCTGCCGTCTCTCTGTGGGGAACAGGAACCATCTAAAGGTGAGTCCTGTATAAGTTAACAGCAGGTCGTACGGTCTGTGATGGGAGCTTTTGAGATGGAGGTTTTCATCCTCACAGGTTATTGTGCAGTCATTATTCTTTAATGATTTGGAGTTGGCTGTTACTTTGAAACTGGCTTTGATTCGCTTTATTTTGGAAAGACGTTGGCTTGGTTTTTGGAAATGGTTGGGAAATGCACGGTCTCTGGGCTGGACAAAAAACGTTTAAATACGTATCTAACATATACCTATTTTGCTATTTTTCAGTATGGGAAGTATCCAATATACAATATGTACTCGCTGTTTCACTGACTTTATATACCCACAAGAAACTTCTTATATAAACTTCTAATCTTATAAAATATTATGTATTTAAGTGTATGAAATATGTCGTAGTGCAGCACATTTTCAAAACACACTTTGCAATTTTTTTTAAAGAATTACTTCTAAGGTTGTTTTGTGAATATTATTTTAAAATGATTAAAACAACACACTCTTCGTGTCTTTTTCACTTAGACAGATTATATATATTTTCTTAATTTGTTCCCACATCTGAAAAGTGACCTATTTACCACATAAAGTATTTTGTTTTAAGCGACACACATTGTCCGTAAGCGAAACATTTCTTACGCCATGTTTGCCCAACAGCATTTTGGGAACAAACGCAGTCCCCTTCATTCATTTGAAGGAGACGACTCTTTTGACGCAGTGTACAGTATAAGGAGATCTGGCAGAAACTAAATGCACGGTCATCGGGAAAAACGTTGAACTTGGCACAACCGCTACCGCAATGCATTATCGGAACGGTGCTGCAAAAGCCAATCAGATGCGTGCAAAGGAACAGCTGGTAGATTGCTTTGTAACCTAAATGCAAAGGAATTGATGCAATAGAATCGGGAAAATAAATGTGATCTTTCCAATTTGAAGATTCCTGTTTATTGGTATTATAAACTGTGCTACGCTGTTTCGGTTTCAGCCTTCAAACTCATGGATGAATTACTCGTGCACACACAGGACTTTTTGTTACCCTGGGCTATATTGCAGAGGCAAAATGAATCCCGTTTGTCAGCAAAATCTGGAAAATAGATAGTCCGCCCTCACAAAGTCACCTCGGGCTGATTCTCAGTGCAGCAGCTCCAGGCTCTGCTTCCTGGGTTTCAGACTGCGTTAACAGATAAAACACCTGAGCTGTCGTAGTGTCAAAGATAACGAGAAGTCTAAACTCTGATACTCTGTTAAGGTTTGAATCTGGCTCCTTGCTTTAGACTTGCTGGGGCCTTTCTGCATGGATTTACATGTATCCGCACGTCTTTGTCGCTTATCCCTGGCTTTTGATTTTCTCCCACAGTGTAAAGACATGCTAGTATGTCATGGCCATTTCCACTGATCATAATTCCATTGTTGAGGTATACTAAAATAGATTTATACTGTGCAATTTTCCAAACTCACATCGCAAGGGTTCCCTCGACAAGGGCTCCCTCGACAGATTTCCGTATATTGCAGAAAATAAGCTCTGTGGCAATCACCATTTATCATACTTCAGCAGGATAATCTCCACATATTAACACCATTTTGTGATTTTTGAAGCATAAATGCAGAAGTAGAAGCCAACGGTCACATGACTTCACATCACCACCGCTAAGCTAAAGGTGGCTAATGTTCCGCATGATGACGTTTAGTATTCCATTTAGACACATGTTAGCAATCGCCGTTTTTATGACACAAATAGAGGCTTCGGAAAATCACCAGTGGGTTATTTATTGATGTTTTTTAGGTTGTAGAACGAAACATTAAAATCTCTTCAGCTTGTGTTAACCACAGACCATATTTAAGGATTCTAAACACATTAAAAAAACTGCTGACTTCAAGACGATTGGAAATGGAAGTGGTAAATTGCATTCCCGGATTTTTTAAACTGTGAAATTGCTAATATAATGCTTCTTCAGCTAGCTTGGACAGAATAAGCAGGTATAGATAATGGATGGATGGATACAAAGAAAGTACAAAGAACTGTCATTTTCCTAAATCCTCTTTATTTAAAATACATAATGTGATGACAGCTGCTCGCAGGCAGCACACTGCAAGCATTAGTTTGGTGTTCACTAACATTTAAAGTGATATGACAGCAACTATCCAGGGCAAACTCAAGATGGTAAACAGTGATGCACAATGATAAATATGTCTAGCTCATGATACAGTTTTGGTCCGTTTAATTGTATCTGCATGAGAAATACAGTATACACAGTAATGGAGACCACTTCATATTGCCAACAACCCCTCCCTGGTTTTAAAGCTGCACTAAAGTTGGCCAAAATGTTAACCTGTCATACCCTAATGGCTCAAACCATGCAACTTGAACATGCATGATCACACAGGCAGCGGTGTTGACATATACAGTACTGTAGGGCTCTCCAACCTCATAACTCTGCAGTTTTGTGCATTTTGCCAACTCTTTTCATCAATAAATCACCATTTAATTAATTGTTCCTCACAGCATGATAGTGCTAAATTATACGGTGGCCGACAGGTGCAAACGTGCTACAACGGCCCATAACACTCCCATTAGGAGAAATGTGCGTCACTTTAACCCTTAGATGCATAAGTGGGTCTTTTTTGACCCGGTGAGGTGGTTTTCTTAGAGTGTCTTTGTAATTACATTTTTTTATCATTTCATATTCCAGCTATTCCTCAAAAAACATGTTTTGGATATCATGCCATTCACATTTTTTATTTAAATTGTATACATTTTAAGAAATTGTAGTTTTTGTATTACTACCCCAAGCTTCCATAAGTGGGTCAAAAATGGCCCGTATGCATTTTCGTTTTTTTTTCAAAATGTAAAAAAAAGGTCTAAAATTATAAATAGTGAAAAATGTAATATAAAATATTTCTAGTGTGAACCAAAATATAATACTAAATATTATACAAGTGATTTTTCTTAACCAAAATGACAAAAATGGCATAAAAACACATAATATTCTAACACGGGTCCTTTTTGACCCACTTATGGAAGAGTGTAGGGTCCAGTCACTCGTGCATCTCAGGGTTACAAAATAATGCAAATAAAAAACACAAATGTGCCAAAACACATGTAAATCAACCTTCTTCCATTTCTCCTAATGGAACCGTTTGGGCCGTTGTAACGCATTTGCCCCTGTCGGCCACCGTAAAATGACCATATTGATCAAGTGTACATCACCTATAATTTATAAAATAAATAACAAAACGGGAAAAAATACCATCATGAAGTGAAAGGCCTAAACACAGACTTGTTGTTTTTTAAACGTTGTAATAGGAGGACTGGCCAGGCCACCAGATTTGACAAAAACATCATAGACATTCAGATATTAAGAGAGATCACATGCTGCAACATGTAAAAGTGGACATCAAATAGTGATCTCATCATTATTTTTTAACATTTAGGGTGCTCCAACCAAATAAATGATCAAATAAATACAATATATTTCCCAATTTAACCATACAATCACCATGCCATGTTTCACAGCCCACATTCAGATACATCACCGTCTTCATAGAGTGAGCTATGTGTTTTCCTTAAAGGTGCATGCTCTCCATTATGATTAGAATTAGTATAAATGTGTTGACTGTGCAAAACAATATATACAGTTTCACGCCCTCACGTTTGAGGCAAAGGCAGTACTTTGGAGACAGAGCTAGGATGTAGGTTTTTAAATTATTTTGTTATATATTGGCTCTATGAAACCTGATGTACTTATATGATTCTGTTTTCTTCAAGTTTGTATCTTCTTGGTCGAATGCACTTATTGTAAGTCGCTTTGGATAAAAGCATCAGCTAAATGCAACGTAATGTAATGTTATATATTAATCTGCTTTAAAATACTCTCTAAAACTTGTTTGTATTGAGGTGCAATTGCTCAGTTTTTTTTTATCACTATAAAACAGGGCTCCAGTTGGATTCAAGTTGCAGTTAGAATAAAAATACATATAAATTATTTATTTTTTAATAATAAAAATCACTGGAAGTTGATGTTTTTTCATATCTTTCAGGAGCTAACAAGTCAAATATGCAAGTACAATATTTACTTTATATCAAAAATGTGAATAAAATCATATAATATTTGATACAAGGCGCCACCTTACGGTTATATAGACCGTATATATGGTTTATCTGGCATTGCTGTGCTTTTTCTGGGAAACTTAAAGTGGACCTATCATGCTATATTTGAATAATATAGTGTAGGACCATACCTATATAAGGCATATTTATACTTTTTTTTTTTCAAAATACCAAACAGATCATGCATTTTAGCCATGCCTCATTTTGCTCAATTTGACAATTTCTAGCTCTGGGCAGATTCTGTGAGAACAGCACCACCTACAGGCCTGGCATATGTACTACAGCATCTCCAGCGCTTTCGAACGGCAATGGCCGTGGCTGTCTCCTCCTGATTGGTGGAGTTGGCCCAATAGCCGTAGCGCCACCGTCCTGACATCAGGACAGGGTTCAAATCTGGATCAGTTTTTATCAGATCCGTTGCAGCCCCTTTTTTAGAGATTTGGGTATGGAGGAAAATAGAGAGGGTTGTGTTTTCTGACACTTGGTGAGTTCCCTGGAACACCGGGGACACATATTCATGTATAAAAGACGTACAAAAGTGCATTTTGCATGATAGGTCCCCTTTAACACACTATCATTAAGTTTCTTACTTTCTTATTATAGTTTTCTTATAGATATGCATGGCAGTACAGCACACTGTAAGCTCCTAGTTAGTCATGAACGTAAACATTTTATATTTAAACTTGGATCATTTGGTAGTATTTCCTGTAGTACTTTCTGTGTATGGCAGTAAACTCTTCTGTGTGTGCTATGGGTGGTTTTGGTTACTTGTTAACTGTAACCAACATAGATTTTGTGACTGTGGGTGCGATGTGAGTTTTTCACTTTAAATTTTGTTTGATATGTTTTGGATCTTCAAAAATGTTGTCATGTAGTCAACAATCATTCACTTTCATTGATCCCAAACACACATTTTTTTCTTTTACAGCTAGATTTAAATGTGATATTGTTAATATTAAAACAATTTATTTTCAGGTCATACTGCCCAGCCCTGGCCTAGTGTACGATAAAAAGGCCATTCCCTATGATCAAATACACTTCCAATGCCACTTATATTGACTCGCGGCTATGGATAGCGTTATAAGTGTTTAGGTTGTAATAAGTGTTCCCTGTCTTAATTTCCACAAAAAAACGAAAAACATCTCACACAGACGTATATAAATAAGCACGCACACAAAGACACATTCAGTAAACACATACACAAAGATGCACACTTGTGCACTGTCTCAAGCGGCCACACACATACATACACACACACACACACACACACACACACACACACACACACACACACACATACATACATACATACATACACACACACACACACACACACGCAGAAGGGATGGAAGTGTCGTTGGAAGATGATTTGAGCTGTGGTAACTATAGATCTTCGGGGAGATGTCTGAAAGAAAAGAGAGGAAGGGAATATTAACATTTTTTTATCTAAGCTAGCAATATTCTTGGAAGATGTGCAAATATCTCAGATTCTCTAGAGATAATGCCAGCAGGTAGTGAGATCTAGGGCAAAACACACAAAGAAACACATGCGCTTGCACAAATATATATATATATATATACACTTGTTTGTACCACTTTTAGGGACACTGCACATCCACAGTGGTCTTCTGAGAGAAATCACAGCAGGAAGGGGGAATCAGATATTTGACTTAAGTAAAAGTAGAAATACCACAGTGTAGAAATACTCTGTTAGAAGTGCATGTCTGGCATTCAAAGATTTACTTAAGTTAAAGTACAATAGCATCCAAATATACTTAACGTACCAAAACCTAAAGTACTCTTTATAACATTTTCGGAATCATATATTTTATCACTACATTATAATAAGTGATCCATTAATGTCTGCACACTTTTTATTTTGCAGCCAGTAAATGTGGAGCTAACTTTCCTTCTATATACTGTACTATTAAGTCATATTTCAAGTCCGTCCCAATTTTGAATCATATTATGAATAAAAATGAAGTATGAAGTAGCATACAATGGAAATACTCAAGTACAAGTATCTCCAAAATGTGCCTGAGTAAAAGTACTTTTAACGACTGCTTCCAATATATTCCAATACATTGTTTAATAAAACCCAGGTTCTATGAATGTTTCCACTACAGCATCACTGTAATCACTGTGGCTGTAATTCCTATTGTAATTAACACGCTTACATGGCAGTGTCCTGTCTGTTTAGTTTGGCGGTTACTTAAAGTGGACCTATCATGCTATATTTGAATAATATAGTGTAGGACCATACCTATATAAGGCATATTTATACTTTATTTGTTTTCAAAATACCAAACAGATCATGCATTTTAGCCATGCCTCATTTTGCTCAATTTGACAATTTCTAGCTCTGGGCAGATTCAGTGAGAACAGCACCATCTACAGGCCTGGCATATGTACTACAGCGTCTCCAGCGCTTTCGAACGGCAATGGCCGTGGCTGTCTCCTCCATTGGTGGAGTTGGCCCAATAGCCGTAGCGCCACCGTCCTGACGTCAGGACAGTGTTCAAATCTGGATCAGTTTTTATCAGATCCGTTGCAGCCCCTTTTTTAGAGATTTGGGTATGGAGGAAAATAGAGAGGGTTGTGTTTTCTGACACTTGGTGAGTTCCATTGGTTATATTCATGTATAACAGATGTACAAAAGTGCATTTTGCATGATAGGTCCCCTTTAACTTAACTTTGCTGTATTTCCTATTTCTCCCCATACTGACCTAGGCATCTTCTATAGCACACATGGTGCTGATGGTAAACAACAGGAGTCCAGATTGGTTGATAAGCAGGTGTTTACCTGAGGGGTGTTGGGGTGAGGGATCCAATCAGAGGACCCGCTATGGTTGTCTAAAGATAAAAGTGAAGAGATGCCCGACAACAGGTTAGCTTTGAGAAGAAGTGTGATTCAGTTAGAGAAGCCAAGGAGTTATATTGAAGGAAAAGTACTTTAGTCATGGCTAACTTTACGTCTGAGCTTTGATACTTGTATTACACATTTGATAGTCGGCATACTGTCAAATGTGCAAAATGCTACCAGCAATTAATATGTTATATTATTATACCAATCTTCATTTTCTTTCTTTTTTATATTGTTAAACGCAAGGGGTGTTTTTTATGTCAAAGTGACAATGTAAAATGTTTTTAAGTGGTATTTAGGAATAACATTATGGTAATGGCATCTTAGGGAATTTGTCTGTTATTAACGGAATATGTGGAATACGCTAGTTAAAATTGGAAATACTGCTGGAGAGGAGAGATATGTGCCAGAGCAGCTTCATAAAACAGAACAAGTACTGCTAAAAAGAAGTGGCATACCAGGTCCTTCTTAATCTTTGTGCTATTGGTAGTTTCTGCTTGAGGACAAGAGAATGAGATGTCTTACTTAGTTCCCTCCTCCGCAACACCTTCAGCATCCAGCTTTCCCTCCTCCTCCATCTTCTCCTCTGAAATCAGTTCCTGCTTCCGGTGTCGACGGAGACATTTCACTACCACCATGGAGAGGATCAGTAGCGCTAAAGCTCCGCCCACTGACGCCCCGATCGCCACTGCGATGGTGGAATCTCTGGGAGGAGGAACTGTGGAGAGGAGAGGGTTAAATAGTCTGTAGACATCGAACTGAGACATCGAAGTGCAATGCTGGCTAAAAGCTCTGATTAAACAGAGTGGAAAGTAATTGCTGCTGAGTGAAGCCGGTGTGTGTGTGTGTGTGTGTGTGTGTGTGTGTGTGTGTGTGTGTGTGTGTGTGTGTGTGTGTGTGTGTGTGTGTGTGTGTGTGTGTGTGTGTGTGTGTGTGTGTGTGTGTGTGTGTGTGTGTGTGTGTGTGTGTGTGTGTGTGTGTGTGTGTGTGTGTGTGTGTGTGTGTGTGTGTGTGTGTGTGTGTGTGTGTGTGTGTGTGTGTGGGGGTCTGGGTGTGGGTGTGTGTGTTTGTTCGTGTGCAAGAAATGCTGAGGGACTAAGTTAAACCTCTTGTTTGTCTTAAATAAGTAAAAAGCTGACTCATCACCAGTAGGTCCTCGTGCTCCAGGAAACACACACTTTCTCACAAACAAACACACACACACACACACAATGTGTTATACTGTATACGATTACTGTTTGAAAAAACAACGCCAAAGAAAGCTCAGTTCACCAAATATCAGTCATAAATAAGTCCAGATCGTGGGTTAGATTTTTAACAGTATCCTTAACGTTTTCACATTTCTTGTCATATTATTGCGATGTATTTAGTTTATACAGCTTGCAAGAGCGTAAACAAACACAAACCTACAAATGGATTTTGTTTAGCCTGATTTTTGCGCAACCATCAAAATTATTCATGAGCCACTTCTGCTATTAGCTCACAAGGAAGCTGGTAGTGCCGCTCTGTTGACAGAAAAACAAACAGCTGCAGCTTGAAATGAGGTAAGGGCCAAACATGCCGGATAATTATAGTAATTGTCAGTGTTTGTTACCTGAAATTGTGTATTCAGAGTTTGCTTTTTTATAGAAACAATTTGTGAAATAATGAATGATGCTATGTCATGCTCTTGCAGCTCTGAAGTTACGATTGATTATGTGTGTGACTGCACAGGGACTGCAGATGAAATGAACTAATAGCTACATTTGACAAGTCTTAATTACATAAGATCTCTAACAGCAATCTCTAGCTTCCACTTATTACACGGCTTAGTTGAATACTCAATGCTGATTGGTCAACAAGCGGGATAACATACAGCAAGGTGGTCATTAATGAAGATTTATAGACAGTAGTATCTTCATAAGGGTTATCGTCTTACGTTCGGTAACAACATGGAGACGAATGGTGCCATGTCCCTGGATGCGGTCGGGGGGGTTTCTCACGTAGCAGTTGTAAAGCCCCTCATCCTCGATCTGCACTTCTGACAGGGTGATTGACAGGTCGTTCTTATCCAGGTTCCCCACAAACATGACCCTGTCTCCGATGTACGATCGCTGAGACACCATTCCTTTCTTCTTGATGAATGTCATGAACTGTAAAAAGAGAGAGGGAGAAAGTCATTTATTCGTTTATTTGACAGGCAATTATTCGAATGGAAGTGTTTTTGGCCGTTTGCACCTCTCAGCCACCATATGTTTAACAGGGACAGTGAACAATAGCCAGATTTAGGCAATAATCTTTTTTTCATCTGTAAAACCAAACAGACATATTATAAAGCAAGAAGATTTAGAGCAGTACAGAAGGACATTTCATTGATGAGAAGGAATCATTTCTTATCAGGTATTTTTTTATTTAATGCGCTTAGGGTTAGGGTTAGTGTCTCCTCTTCCATAACCCAGAACAATTTACACAACAGCTAACACATCAATTTCCCAATTTGGGATAAATAAAGTATCTCACTATCTCTCTACCTATCTACCTATCTACCTATCTATCTGTCTATCTATCTGTCCGTCTGTCTGTCTGTCTGTCTGTCTGTCTGTCTGTCTGTCTGTCTGTCTGTCTGTCTGTCTGTCTGTCTGTCTGTCTGTCTGTCTCCCCGTCTGTCTGTCTGTCTGTCTGTCTGTCTGTCTGTCTAGCCTATCATCCATCCTTACTATGGCATTTGCCACTTGATTGACGTACAGGTAAGCCAGTCTGAGATCTCATCTTTTCTAACACGCAGTTCACCACACATGCGCCGTCAACCGCGCCAGCTGCAAATCACCGGCGAGCTGATGACCTAGTTAGCCTAGCCTAGTTAGCCTTCCAATTTATACAATTCTACTAAAGAAAGGCTATCAAATTGACGTAATGACCACAAATGTACTGAGTTGTATTGTGCCATACGGGTTCATGCAGTTATGCAACATAACAACATCAGGTATACTCAGTATATCAAATCAAATCAAATCAGGTTTTATTTATAAAGCACATTTTAAAACGATTTTTGGTTGAGACAAAGTGCTGTACATGCAAATAATAAATAACACAGTACTACAATCGCAAAAACAGAAGACAATAAATTACAACAGCAAATATAAAAATCGAGTATATAAATAAATAAATATATGTTTAGCATTTTTAATGTCGGTAGATCATTTTGACTTGGTCATTTGAAAAGTAGCTCCCAAGCTGAAAAAGTGTGGGCACCCCTGATCTAGTCTATTAAGAAGTACTCATCCTAATGTACCTACCATGTCCTCTGTATCATTTAGTGTTTCTTGGTAGGTCCAGTTCATGAGAAACTTGCTAACATCCATCTTATAGCAGGAGGTGAACGTGCAGGGGATTTTCACTGTCGTTCCATTCAGTGCGTTAATGTTTTGGGGCATGAGGACGTCCATGCTTGAACAACCTGTGAAGGGAAGCAACACAATCAGAGTTAATGAATGTAAACAATAATACATCTGAGATTTGGACAACTTATTCTAAACCAGGGGAGTCAAACTCAATGTCATCGCGGGCCACATTAGCATTATGGTTGCACTCAAAGGGCCGGTTGTAACTTTAAGACTATATAAAAATACATATATAAATATATAAAATAATGTTTTATTTTACATTATTGCCTCTGCATTGGATTATTATCAGTTCTGGTAATAACTTCATAAATAACTACGTCTGAAAGCAGAAGTCTAGGGCAAATAATTGAAAGAAAATATTCAACAATTACACCAATCGTATCTATATTATATTCTTTGCAAGCTCTTGAGTTTGACACTCCTGTTCTAAACAATATGGTATACAAAGATATTTTTTTAACCTTCCTTTTATTGACCTTCCTGTCAACGTTGATCTGCTGTTTCATGGCAGAATAAGGGGTTCTTGTATCTGATTGCCACAAAGTTAATTCGTTTAGCGTAAATTAAGTATACTGATTATTAACTTCACAAAGAAGAAGGGTAGGACATATTCTAGGAAAGCTGAAAGAGACATAAGCCTTTTCTTCCATCTCATGATAATGCTACTTGTACAGTTTAAGCCGTAGACTGTATTTTAGACCGAGCTTAGACTGCTCCACTAAGTCAGTTTAAATACCCCACACAAGCAGTTTGATTTCCTCAAGTTCCTCCTCCCTTCTAACGTCACGTCTCAGCATGGATTTACACTCCCCATACAGAATCCGTGCCTCTCTCTCAGTGTGTGTGTGTGTGTGTGTGTGTGTGTGTGTGTGTGTGTGTGTGTGTGTGTGTGTGTGTGTGTGTGTGTGTGTGTGTGTGTGTGTTTCTGATTGTGTGTGCGTGTGTGATGGGACTCTGCACCATTATTTCCTCTGCAGTCGGGTGTTTCTGGCTCTCTTCCCACTGCTGCTGCACCACTCCACAGGCTTGCCTCTCTGCACCACACTCACACACACACGCACGCACGCACGCACGCTCTACATTTCCACCCAGCGTCTGTATGTATAATTTACACACGCACCATTTTCCATGCGCACAGTCGGGTGTCTTGTAATGCAGCGCAGCACCTGCTCCCTAATGCTTCTTGCTCTTACACAAAAACACACACACGCACAATTACATCCAACTCGTGCTTTGTCAGCAGTGAGCTTAGCATGCTAGCTGTGCTACGTCAATGTCACACAGCATTCTGACCTATCTGTACACATACAGCTAATACATTCAAGGACACACACACCTATCACTGTCACACACACACACACACACACACACACACACACACACACACACACACACACACACACACACACACACACACACACACACACACACACACACACACACACACACACACACACACACACACACACCCACACACACACACACACACACATTGTATTTGTGTGTGCGTGTGCGTTGTTACTACATCCCATTCACAGTGAGTTAGATGCAGGCTGATGCTGACTCAGCTGTCCCGTCGATAGTGAGAAGGAGGCAGATGCAGAGACTTGCTAACAGATGAAATGCTGCAGTGGAGCAGCCTCCCTCCCTCCCTCCCTGCCTCCCTCCCTCCTTCCTCTCCCATCCATGTCCACTCATGCCTCTCTCCTATACCTCTCCTGTCTAACCCCACAGCTACACTCCAAAATGACTCCCTATTTTCACTTTCCAAATGCATTCTCTCTCCCACTCCCCTTCTATTTCCATCCACTGCTCTCACAAGGTCAATGCAGAAAAGAAGGTGGTGTGTCTGTTACATCACCTGTCCTGTGTGCCCCCAATTCCTCTCATCCAACTCTATGTGAACACCTTTTTATACGTTTGACCGTATATATGCACATAATACAATTTAAAGCAGAGGTGTATATTGGTAAAGAAATAACAGTTTTAAGGGAAATTACTGCCTTGTGGATAAAACAATACAAGTGCTGATACATTTAAGGAACTGCAATTTACTATTATGTTGTTTTTGGAATAGAAATCTCAAGCACATCCTAAAGACCACACAATGTTTCCATTTGTATTGAGTAAAAGATACCTGAAGCTATACTTTTACTTGAAATGGAGTATTGTACAGTTAGGTTTTAGTACTTCTACTTAGGTGATGGATCTGAATACTTCCTCCACCACCACTAAGACTGAGTTGTCCATAACAGAATCACCACTCAGTTGTTTTAGTGTTGAAGATGGTTGGATGTATAAGAGGAGGTCCTGTGTGTGTTGACACTTTAGGGTGATCAACTGGCCACTCTTAAAAGGAGTTAACTCTCTATAGAGGGCTTCAATATGGCGTCCTTCATATTGTTGAACAGGTTGGGTGTCTTTGTCTTATCTGGGGGCTTTTTATAGGGGCAGGGCCTCACATGCACCTCCTTACAATAGAGGAACACAAGGCTTTAATGTTCCAGATAACCCAGCAGTGAATTGCAATATACACATTTTACATGTATTTTTCGTTGGAGCATATTATAAAATTGTATTTTTATTTCATTTGATCCTATAATGGAGCATACGCTTCTTATAAATAAAGTGATTTGATTATTTTCATATCCCAACAACAGAGAGACATTGGTGTAAAAGTGAATCATGAGTTTTGTTTGGTACTAACTCATGTCTGGATGATGTGTTGACCCCAGAATGGTGCTCTAGGAGGAGATTCAGGTGATAAGGTGGGCGTGTGTTACCTTAGTTGGTTATTGGATAATGGTTGAACAACCCAAAAAACATTGTGACATCACAAAGTATCCACAATCTGATCCGCTCATTTTCAGACAGGTTTGAAACAGAGGGGACAAATTGTTACGTATAAAATCCATGAACATGTGGGTATTGCATAATAGGTGTTTTTTTCATTTGTGTTCTTTACTGCAGGGCTTGTCCTTAGCGCCCCCTGCTGTGTAGAAGGTCACACTGCAGCACTCAGGGGCCAAAAGGGAGCAGTCAGTCAGTCGATACAACTCACAGCAAAAATACAACATCTGTCAGTTACTCCTGAAGGAGTTGCAGGAAAGGATGCAGAAGCGTTTCTCTGATCAGATCAAAGCAATCAGTCCCAGAACCCTTTCAAGTAATACGACAAAATAGCCTGCAGCATCTTTGTGTCTTACTGTATTATCGGCACAGACAGGGACGCATTATCCAGTGTATTGACCTTTTCTCACTGCAGTGCTGCAGGCAGAGTGATTGCACAAGCCCACACTCCTTTAAATGTAAATATTGACCGTGTGGAATAAGAGAGGAGAGGTACTTTCCATTTCTTGTCTTCCTCTCCCCTGCACCCTTTCACTGTTATGCATTATTGACCGTCCTGTCTACTCATGAAAGGGATGCAAAGTATGGCTGCTTTAATACACAATATGCTGAAACCGTTAAGAAGAAACATCCAGATAGAATCGCAGAAACAAGCAACTACACAGATACATATACACACAGTTACTGGGTAGTGTAACATGTTTTAAATGTGTTATATTTCAGTGGACTTTTGACCAAATGTGCAGCTTCTAGACAGGAATCTGAAGATGCATCTTGACGTTTTGAAAATAAACATCGGCAGCTTTCCTAACCTTTCAAATGTTATCTCGGAAGTTTGTTTTGATATTTGATGTTTATACTGTGAAGGAAACATTTACAAATCTAATAATTCTGTGTTGCAAGGCCAATCGTGGTCTTACAAAGCAGGACGAGAGTTGAATACAGTAAAAGTAAAAGAAAATAAGGTAAATTACTGTTGAGTTATGTAAATTAAATATATTAAAGGCATTGTGATGATGCTAAATAACAACATGTCTGTTTGTAAATGTTTTGCGATTCTATTTGAGTATCTTCAGAAACATGTGTTTACTTAATATGTGTTTATATAATGCACAATGTTTTAAGGATACAATTACACTTGGTCTAAATTACATACATTATTTTCCAAATCTATGCTGTCATAATAACTGCATCAAACCCTGTCTCATAAAACTATTGTTGTATATGTTGCAATGTTTACTGAAAAAATATATTGTTCAGAAACAGAATGAATATTTACAAAGGTGTCATTTGTTATGTTCCCCAATACTTTAGGTTCTAGGGCAGGGGTCTCAAACTCAAGGCCCGGGGGCCAAATCCGGCCCGCGACTTCATTTTATGTGGACCCGCAAGAGCTTGCAAAGAATATAATACGTTTATTATACGGTTACATGCCACTTTACAGAAGCAGGTTGCCCATAAACTACATGTCCCACAATGCATCTCGTTTTGTGACATGCGCACTGAAGAGACTTGCAATTATTTTCCCTGGACTTCTGCTTTCAGACGTAGTTAATTACTAAGTTATTATCCTATCCGATAATAATCCAATTCAGAGGCAATAATGTAATATAATACATTATTTTATATATATATATATTATATATTTATATAGTTACAACCGGCCCTTTGAGTGCAACCTTTATGCGAATGTGGCCCGCGATGAAATTGAGTTTGACACCCCTGTTCTAGAGTGTTCTAGATAAGGGAATAAACAATACAAATTAAATTAAATTAAAATAAACGGGTAAAAAATTAAGCAAAACACTCAAATAAAAACAAAAACCTGAATTGTAACTAAAAAGGGGCTACAGTAACTAGGCAATTCACAAACAGCCAAAGACAATTTTCATTAAAAAAAAGTGACAAAATAAAAAAAGGTAGAATAGGGCACATTTACTAACACTTCCGAAACACGTTCAAAAAGCAGTGTTGGAAGAAGGAATCAGATCCTTTACTTACGTAAAAGTAAAAATACAATGGCCTTAAAACACTCCATTACAAGTATGAGTATAAAGTGGAAGTATAGAGTAGCATTGAATCGAAATACTCAATTCAATCACAAATGTCAAACATGTACTACGATAATTGAGTAATTGTACTTTCCATCACTTAATCAGAAAGTCTTATTGTTTCATTTAGTTATTTATGTGTAGGCTCTGCTGAAATGGATTTCCTGTTTAATAGACAGACACTTAACTAGCCACAGTGCAAGTGTTTCCTCCTGTCCATTTGCAGAAATGTGTTCTGGCCACAATCAATAAGCCACTGCAGCAGTAATCATCTACGATTTATTATGTATTTGGATTTGGTTTAATTAACTGATTTGTGGTCATTTGATGCTTCTACACCTCATGACGCAGGCACTTGATGCAAGGGCAGTAACAGTAGATGTTTTTTAAATGTATTTTAATGTTCAGGGTGCTGCTGCCCTCTACTGCCTCTCCTCAGGAACTGTGAGTGCACTTTCAAATATTCAAACGCTTTTTTCAAATAAATATATAACACAAACATAAACAAAAAAGTGCAACAGACCAAATAGTTTGAGTTTGTTGCAGGAATAAGCCAAATATGTTCTTTTAAAATAGAATAAGATAAGGCAATATCTATAATTAAAATACAGTAAACACTCTGTAATAATATATATCATTGAGGACTGGATTTGAAGTGATATATGCGGACTATAAACAGTGTATTCTAGACAGCATTTGACACTAGACCGAAATAATATTTTCTGGAAACGGCAGCAAGTTTTGCAAAAACTACAATATTTCGTTTTTTAGAGTTCAACAAAGTGATAGACCTGTATATGATGTATTGCAATATATGTTTATTTGGACAATAAACCAGCTGAGTAATTAATAATTAAAGAGGTAACCTTTCATTTTGCCTTCAGCAGAGCCCACATCCTGTTGAGGAGCAGCCTCTCCATGCAACAGTCAACCTTTGAGTATCTATTTTCAGTTGGCATAGTGGAAAAGCAAAAGCTGCAGTAAGAACATCTACAAATACACTGGTGGGTGTTTTCCTTTTTAATAGACAAACCACTGAACTGATGAATCTGAGACAAAAAACAATTAGAAGTTAACATTGATGTCTTTTGTCTTCGTCATTTCTAGTATTACAGTCAGACATTTTCAGTTTATTTTCATATTCAGGTTCATGTTAGTATTTAGTGTCTCTCCTGTGACATGTCTCAATGCTTTAATGCTCAAAAAGCTCTTTATTTTTCTCATACTGCCTGTGCTGCAGCACCTCTTTTCACCCTCTGTCTGAAACCAGAGCCCAGTCTACTCTGATTGGTTAGCTGGACGGCTTTGTTTTGATTGGTCAAACTCTTTAAGATGTCCCACCCATTGTGACATAGGGATGTCACTATGTTACAGACGTAAACAAAGGAGTACAATGGAGATGTTTCAGGCAGGGGTGGGGGGTGTGGGAGAGAAAACAGGGATTTTAGCCTCTACAGACCATTTACATGCACAAAGAAACACACTACAGGAAAGGGAAAACCACGAAAGCATGAGAGGGCCTCTTAAAGCGACAAGGCCACTATGACATCGGATGAAAATATGATTTTGAATGCAACCCCCCCAGATCTTTGTGGTAAACCTTATTGTCAGTGACTGTGTTATTGTGTAAATAAACATGCAACCAGTGGCTATTCATCCAGATATTTCTCCAAACCCTCTTCCTAATACAACATATAATCAGTTCTTTAGAGATCATCGTGCTCGGTATCATTAACCTCACCTCCCTGGGTTTGGTGAGTTTTACATTCACCACTGGAAAGCATTTCACTCAGGCAACCATTGCAACCACAGTAAACAGCAGGAGGGGAGAGTGTTAAGCTCAATGATGATATATACTCACCACAACATGGCTTTACATTGGTGGATGGATCTGTTTGTTAATCTGCTCCGGTTTTACATTTAATCTGAGCATCCCCACTCAGAGTAATGATGCTGTGTGTGATCAAATGTAGAAGCCCATTTTGATCTGATAGCTTTTGATCTGCAAATGATCCTGATCCATTTGATATCATGCTGAAATCTGCTCCATTTAAACCCACCTAGCTATTAATAAGGACCCTCCATAGTGTATATGTGTGCTGCTGAATACAATAAACAGCACATTGGTGGCACCTTATTATAGGCCTATTTCTGTCCCCACACTGAGTCACACACTGTACACAATGATGTACACAATGAGCCCATATTTATTTTATTAAGGCAGCTGCATCTTATTGAAGGGTGGATGCACCGGGGGCATACATATGTTTACAGAGGGTAAATAGAGACATATAGGGGGAGGGGGTCAACATAAAGCCATCAGTGGACAAGCACAGCTGATCAGAGATCCATTTGTTTCTTACCGGAGAGCCAGAGCAGCAGCAGCGCCGCGCTCAGCAGCTGAGCGGCAGACCTCTCCGGTACCGGGGAACACATCTTCCGGGAAGAAAACAGAGCCTTTATCTCTGGAAAAATATGTATACGTTAAAAAACACAGCAGGAATTCTGCTTGCTCTTGCGTTAAAATGCTAAAAACTGTATTTTTTGTTTGGTTTTACAGGCAGGACATGGCTGGCAGTGTCTGTAGCATTATGGCAGGTTGGTCTCATGGTTGTCGGTACGTTGGAGGAGGAGGAGGGAGGGCAGGACAGGAAGTGGAGTAAAATGGAGGACATCTGCCTCTCCTACAGGTTGTAAACAAACGGTTTGTACTACGTGTTGAGTACAGTTAAGAGCAACACCTATACGCTTGAAATTAAAAGAAAAAGAAAGCAAATATTTACAAAAATAGACTTGGATTACTTATTGAAAAAAAAAAACGTTTACTATAGATTTTAAATGCAGGGTATAAGGTACACAAGGCTTTGGTTGGCAAATGCATTTTGACCATGTTCAATTATTTTACCTATTAGCAATAAGATAAAATACATTGATTTAGCTGGTTTATCGTTAGCTATTCATGCCATAGTCTCCACAGTTTCCACATTTCAATCAAACTGATCAAATGAGAGATTTTAAAGCAATGTGTTACACCATTTCCATCCAAAATCATCAAAGAACCAAATAAAGGAATTCATATACGTGTATATTTTAAATTATAATCATCAATTACGACTATCCAGGATGCTTAGATAAGCTTTTCTAACACAGTTTATGTTGATTTCCCCTCACTTATGTGTACGTTTGTAATGTGAATGTAAATGAAGAGATCAGCCACTACTTATCCAGGTGGGAGCAGGAGCTTTTGTATCTTGGACGTTTTTTTAGGTAACACTGCCAAAATATCACATCTGTATTTTACTATGTGTGCACAATAATGTCTGTTTTGGGTCATGAGGATGAGGAGTCCCCTCTGAGAGAAACCAGGCTGCCGTGCAGACAAACAATAAACTAAACACAGTCCAACCCTACCTCCCTACTGATCATTCCCCAATCCATCCTTGCTTGGTGGGAGGCAGAAAGAGAGGATACCGGGAAATAAAAACATTGTGGTAGTCACATGGTTCATCATACCATCTACCTTTTACATTGTTACTTACAGGAGGCAAAGAGGGTGTGATGTACTGTTGTACAAAGTAAAAAAAGAGAAGCTGCAGTGAGACAGTTGCCAAATCCCAAAGTCCCCTCTGAACCCTAAAGCTTGAAAACCCTCTGGGATTTATCTGGTGGTAAGAGCTTGAGTGCAAGAGGTCGTAAAGGCTCAACATGGAGTAAATAGGAAGGGAGAAAAAGCGCTTCACACTCTATAAGCATTTATTTATTTAGATGATGTTTTGAAGAAGAGTGAAGGGCCAACACATCATCTAAATCAGTGGTTCTCAACTGCTGGGTCGCGACCCAAAAGTGGGTCGCGGACCCGTTTCGAGTGGGTCGCAGATGTGAGTGAAGAAAAAAAAAATTGAAAAAAACCCCCCTTTTTTTTTTTTTGAAGGCCCGATTTTCTAACGCTGTGCATGCAGTAGGCGTTGGACTGGAAGTACCGGAGCCCATAAACGGTTTTGAAAACTTCTGTCACGTATTGATCATCCTCTCAATAAAACATCTTTGCTGATGTTTTTTCGAGTCTTCTGGCCAATCAGAATCAAGATTGTTGCCGGAAGTCCCCACGGAGAATAACTTTGCGGTAGAACTATTCTTTATACATCCATGGGTACAACTTCAGATAGAAATGAACACATAATGAAATATGACCCCCGGTTTGATGATTGACAGGTCACAGAACAATGGGGGCTATCTACCCTTACCCACAATTTAAAGTAAGTCACACAAACTATCTCCTCTTTGCTCTTCTCTCTGTGAGGAGCAGCAAGTTCAACTGTCAGAACAAAGTGAAACACAAACAATGGCATAAAATATTATTAATATGTCGGGTTGTAATACATTTATTTATTTTCTTCTCAGAATGTACCAGAATGTGTAGTTTATATGTTAATATTTCAAAGCATCTCCTGGGGGAGAATCCCCCCAGACCCCCATGCTGGGGTTGGGTTTTCAGCATGTGTGCCTTTTTATGTTATACAGTTCAGCTTTGAACATGCATTTAAACAGTCCTTCAGCGTCACTCGATGACGTAGCATGCTTGAAATAGTGGCTCTGGAACAGCCTTCCTCAACATTGAGAAACACCCACAGGCTCTGATTTCTTAAATAGGCCACACCCGAGTCACACAGCTGACGGTGATTAGATAATCATGTCTTAGCAGGGCAGGGGGGAAAAATCAAGATGTACTGAGACAAAACATTGGCTGAAAACAGGCAATTCACATGTCCATCTCTGATATAATGTCCTCTAGTCTTTTATCAAAACAGCATCATTTAGCAAAGAAGTAAAGGAATGGTTGATGAATACACCAGATGTGAAGTATGTGGTTGCGAAACCATCTTAAATCCATGTGAAAGTAGTGTTTATTAATAGAAAAGTAGGTACCAGTGTACACAATGCACCACACAGCACCATGCATTGGGTTACTCACTTAGAGAAAGTCTGCAGAAATGTGGACTTGTGGACAAAGTGGATATGCTTTGTTTTTAAACAGTTGGTTTAGTGTCTGTCATTTCTAATAGTATAGGGAGTGCACCATCTAGTGTTTCACATAATACAATACATGTCTTTATGGGTTGATAGAAACACCACAGTGAAGGGGAATGGTGTGTTTTTTGCTGTCTAGTGTTATTGAAAACCAAGGCAAAAACAGAACCAATAATGCATAGCGGGATTCATATATGTATGGATGTAATAATGATATTTACTTTTAAAGTTGGTGCAGCCATTGCCATATTTAGCAAAGAAACAAATTATTCAAATGCTGTTAAACGACCTGACTAACTTTTGTTTTGGTCATACGATAAGCCAATTTGCCTGTGAAGCCCTTCATTATATGAGATAGCCTTTAAGTTATTTAGTTAATTCCACAGGAAGTTAGTATTTTACTTCCTGTGGCATACAGCCTGTCAGAAATCTGCCTCAAAAGACCAAACGGAAAGTAGAGTTTGGCAAACACTCATCACGCAGGTTCCAACATGAGTGCATGACCTCATGTTTGAGTTGCACATGTGGAAACAAGATGTGAAGATCCCAAAATGTCAGCTAAAGAGTCATAATGACCTAATGTGACATCCTTACTCCTTTGCAGACTCACCCTCAAAGTCCATGAGTGTGAAACAGACGTAATGATTTCTTTGAGCGGACAGATTCTTCAGAAAAGATGTGGGATGTCAGGATAAAGGGAAGAGGAAAGGACGATCACATACTATAAGGAGTGACTGAGGGAGGAGGCAGGTATGGAATGCAGGAGGAGAGAAAAGGCACTTAGAGGAGTGGTTAGAAAACATTAGGAGCAGAGTGAGGCGACTCTCAGGCCCAATCCCAAACCACTCCCTCGACCCTACCCCTCCGTGGCGGAGTGAACTCCGTCTGTAGCCACACTCGCAGCTCAACGAGGCTCCCTCCTGTCAGATGGAGGGAGTAAATACAGCGGCAAGCTTTGGGACAAACTCCCCTCTCTCTCCGGCAGAAACAGGAAATGCCGTAACTGTATGTAACAACGGTTTCAAATCAGCATGTCTTAGACAAAAAAATGTAAATTAATAACTCAAATAAAACTCCAAACATCTGTCATTGTGTTACTTTTTTGTAAAGCTCTTTTAGTTTTAAACCTGATGTTTATAAGCTTCTTAATTTTTGCAACAGTCTGTAAATATACACAACTTTATAATAAAATGCACACATTTACCTTTTTCTAGACTAAACACAGGTATATGATCCTAAGTTAAAAAAATATGAGGTTATCATGAGGTTGTTAACATCGCAATTTATCAGTGGATGTTTGCTGGAACTACTTGTAAACAGCGTGTTTCCTGACGGACACACACAGCGTGACTCCGGTCAGGTAGAGACCAGTCTCAAGTCAGCACAGATGCAGACTCGCTGTTTGAGGGCTTGATAGCCCACTCCCCCTCCACACCTCTCCACACTCGTTGGTTTGGAACAGCACTTAATGTGGCGAACGCGCAAACGGAGGGGTAGTGTGTAGGGGTAGGGTGTAGGGGGCGGTTTGGGATTGGGCCTCAGTCTGTGGTGAGCATCACAAAGCTGCTGATGAGAAAGAGCTCGTAAAAACTCTACATGCATTCAGTACATTCAGAGTGAAGGCTTAAAAGCCGGACGCTGTCAAATAATACACGTGTATCTATTCCATTATCCACACATGTTGGGTTGAGTGTTTGTTCTGAGAGTTGGGATGCAAACATTCACAATTCAACTGTTTTTATCAACTGTTTGTTGTTCCATGTCTTTATGTGTCTCTTTGAATGTATTCATTAAGGTTTATATTTGTTATGTTTTAGTTTTTTATTGTAAATTTGTTCATGTTTTGGAGGAAATTAAACTTTGTAACATGTTGACATCTTAAATGTAGAATATCAAAACCCCACTCACTTAGTAAAAATCAAATACAAATAAATATGTAAAAATTCATGTTTAGCATTCAAATAAATGCAGTCATTGTAAATTCACGATAGGCTATTGTACTGTGTAAATGTATGTAAGTAATGTAGCAAGCAAGTATATAAGGATACCTATAGGAGTTAGAATAGGAGTTATCGTGTGTGTGTGTGTGTGTGTGTGTGTGTGTGTGTGTGGCCTAGCATTACTATCCTTGTGGGGACCTACATCTGTTTACAGATGAGGGAATCATTAATTTGAGGGTGAAGACTTGGTTAGGGTTAGGCATGTGTTGGTTATGGTTAAGGGTTCGATAAGTTTCCAGGAAATGCAAGTAAGTCAATGTAATGTCCCCTGAAGTGATGTATACATGGTATGTATGTATGTATGTGTGTGTGTGTGTGTGTGTGTGTGTGTGTGTATTTTAGGCCTCTTTCACCTGTGTTTGTTTGATTGAGTGTTGAGACGTTGACACTTTACACATTACCTGCAGTTATTTCTGTGCTGGTGTTGTCAGTTTGTTTGTTTGCTCAGCATTTTGTTTTTCACTTACTCTTGCTTACTCTCAAACACCCAGCACATTTTCTCTCTGTCAGCTTTTTTTATTGGG